ATTGTAAATTTACTCGTTATCTGTAATAATTAGGCTTTCTACCTGAGAAGTAGTTTTTGACTAATGTGTGCCGAATGTTTGTTCATTTTCTTTACACACATTCAGCTGCAATCATTAGAAGTATTTTAAAGTAAAGCTCTGCATGCAAGCCTGTTAGTGTAACTACATATATACAGTATAGAGAGAGCGTTAGCAAAACCCTGACTAAGCAAGTTGTCTCAGTGTGAATTCTTAAAGAACATCCACGAGGTCATAAACTGCACTTTTAATTCTTCATATATTAGGCAGCAACTTATTTGCGAAATTGATGGAAACAAGCCGTTATTAAACGTGTAATGTGCTGTGGTAAGGACAGATTGATGAAATAACTCAAAGATAATTAGCGTGGGCGGTGAATTACTGCTCAGAATGAAGTTAAAACACTGTAACACAAGAAAACTAACAAGCTTCTCCTCAGCATGCAGCCAGCCCACAGCCACAGTGACAGAGAACACAAACAACCTTTGGGAAAGACACTGTTTAACAAGCTGAAGGCGTCAATCTGCATCTTCTTCATATGAAGATGAGGCAACAGTTATTTTTATGAGGAGCTGAGAACCATGTGGTTTGTATCCAGCTGATTTCACCCAGTGAGCTGAAGTGATCTGTGAAATGAGCAGGTATGGTGATTGATGGGAAAGAAGACCTGCAGCCTGTCTGCGTTGCATTGCACAAGCTTGGCTGTTTCTATTCAGTTCAGTTTTAGTTATGCACTCAAAGTGAGGTCAGTGCCTGACCGTGAGAAACCCGACGATTCCCTTTGAGCAAGCACTTACCCTAAATAACACAAATGTTGTGAAGCTGTTTACCACGTCAATATTAATTGTGTTAACCCACCAAATAATGATAGACTGAGGGAGCAATTTCACACTCATTCATTCGCCTGAAAACTTTAATCACTGAAATGATTCGGCTTTGGTCAATATTGTCATGAAGTAACAGAATTTCTGCAAAGATAAACGGCAAAATCCAGCATAACTCAGAGGTCTTACAAATCCACTCAAACAGGATCCACAGTGGGAGTTTGCACTGCTTTCTACTCCCAGCCCGTCCATGTTTTGGAATTGTGTTTTTCATGGAGGGCTAAAAATAAACACATCAGTTTGTTTGTCAATAATTAAAAATATCAATTTGATTTAAAAACATAAGCAGTTGTTTCACTATTATTAATTATTCTGTGCTTCTGTCAACACCACCCATCAGAGTCAAGGGGCGGGGCCTAATCAAACACTGACCTAATCAAAAACATTGATTTGTTCCGGGCTCGCAGTGGATATTTCTCAGAGTTTGTATTGCACACTTGTTAGTTCCTATTGGACCAGTACACTCAGGAGTCCAGACATCCGAGGACAGGAGGATGCAGCGTACTCAACGACATCAGCTCAGCTTCACTGTTTACTTTACTGCGTTTCATGATTAATGTTTACGATGAAAGTAGCACATAAGAGACCTAATTACCTGTGTTCTTTCCAAACACACACACGTTTTTAAAAGCCCTCTGGCAAGATGCTCAGCTATAAAAGGGCCATTAATGTGAAATTATTTTAAAAGGTCATAAACACTGGACTCATTTGGATGAGGTAAAGAAGTGTACACCGGCAGATTAAATTCAATATTACTGATTATTCAAGCGACAGTTCAGCAGTCGCTATGCATCTATACACTCACTGCTCATCAAAGAAAAAAACACACAGAGCTAATAATTCAAGTAGACTTCTATAACTTATAATAGGCAGCTGGTGTTTAGAATACAGTTGGATAAATATTAAAAATGAATAATTTGATCATCTCTGGAACAGGCCTGACATTACTCTTCAGGAACATCATCAATATGCAAGTCCAGATGTTTCTGCTCTTGGTGAAAATGCTCAGTTTCCTCTCTGTTTTAAAATATTTTTAATGTTAGTTTTATTGGAAAATAAGGTGTCATAAACAAGTTTAACACATCTGAACATCATGAAATAAAGACAAGCAAATGATTCTGTTGAAAATAGAATACAACACTCCAGTGGTGCATCATGGTTCACTAAAACGATCCAGTTATGAAGCTTAACTTTAATCTGAAAATGAACAAACCATCACCGGTTAGATATCATCTCTGTGATTTATATCCTGTGTTTACCCCCGAGTGAGAGGTGAGGGGTTTTGAAAACAGTGTTCTGGGAGCAGGCTGTTCTCAGCAAGCATCATGAGCTCCAATTGCCCCATCAGCTGATCGCTAAGATGAGCTGGCTGTTAGCCTAATGGGACCTGACATGTCACAAAATGTTGGAGCACTTTTGCAAATATGCTCTATCTGAGCAAATCAACGAGATAGTTGAAATTTATAGCGCTATGTTCTCACCTTAAAACTCCTAAAAGTGTATTTATTGTAGGATTTCAACGTTTTACCTGCAGTTTGGTGCTTTGCTCCCCCCACTGCTGCTTGTGATGTAGTTTGAAATGCATTCTTGGATACCTGGCTGCCACAACTCCACACCACCCCCAACCATGAGTCTGTTATCTGGGTAACCGGTCAGATGTTAAGGTGTGTTGATAAGCTGCAGTGACAGTTTAAATGATTTCATGGCACAATAAAGCACAGGAACCATGAAATAATGCAGTGTTTCCCAACCTTTTGGAGCCACGGCACACATTTCACTTTAGAAAAATCACACGTCACGCCACCAAACACAAATGTCACAAAAAGCATAATTTCTCCCCGCGCCCAGTTATATACCTTTTTTGTCTTTCTTCCGACCACTGCTCACGCTGGGCCTTCATCTGGGTCGGAATTTTCTCCAGGTCAGATGAACTACTTTTCAAATATTTATTTATTACTATTACACACTACGTTGTCTCACTTGCAGCATGACCATGTAATTTCTTCTTCGTCTAATATCTTACTGGCAGTTGGCAACCCATTTAATTAGAGCAGGTAGTTATACTGCCCTCTAGTGGAAGAGAATGTAATTGCTCTGCCCGTTATTCACACTGGTTGCTTAGCGTACCAATCAGGTGAAACGTGATTATCTCCATGGCACACCTATGTGCGCCAAAAATCAGTCTCCTCGTGGACTCCTCATGGTTAAGTGTCAGACTTTGCAACAGAAAAAAAGTAGCCACTTTTCAGTATTTATAGCTACTTTAATTGTATTATTTTCTAACATGCCCATTCTGTTTTTGTAGGGGTGTAGTTGCTCTGATTGACAGGTGGTTGCCTTCTTGGTTTTATCTCAGCTAACTAAACTGGACCTCTAAATTTCTTTCATGCTGTCAGAACGTTTTTAATCCAAGTAACTGACAAATATTCTGACCTTATTTAAAGTTATTTGTACTTACAACTCATCCAAGAAATGAATTCTTCAGTTTGGTGAGCAAAACTCTTGTATTATGTTCTGTCTGTCCCATGGAGCCTTTTGGACTCTCTATACTAACCAAAAGTTTGAGCACTCTGCCTTCAAATATGGTGACTTCTGGCTCCAGAAAGTAAGATGATGGTAGTCTAAGGAGCTTGGAAGGAAAAGGTCCTACTACGATGACCTGGATGACTGAGAACCTTCACACATATAAGATAATGGTATCATAAAGCTAAAACCAAGGCATCGAAATGGGCGTTGATAGATCTTATGGTTCCATGGTGACTATGTTTATATAGTGCCTTTGATCAATCCTACAGGACACAAACAGAAACGTGCGGAGCTCCTAGTCGAGGAGTCGTGACAGAGGCAGTGATCTCGGCTGTCTAGGGTGGGCAGTGACCGTCATGATGGCATTTTTAAATGTCTTTGTGTGGTCTTTGCGGTTGAAGTTCCCCCTTTGATTAGGATCAATCCAGGAAATCATACAGCAACATTTACGTCAGAAGTCTGGCTGTCAGAGCTGCTTAATGGGGCTCTGATTGAATTATTTAATTGCATGTAAACGTAACCACTGTAATTCCACCCAATCTAAAGTTAATGGAAAACACATCAATCAACAAGAAGCCTGGCCATTTCACATTCCTGAGTCTCGACTGGTGATTACCACTTCAGAAAAATCACAGGGCTGCCTCAACGAGACAATTCAGCCATCGAGACAAACGCCCCAATTAGGATCTTTATTGGTTGTTGCCATCACCATCTGCAATTCGATTGCTTGTGACACTCATCTGGAGTGTATTTTTTTTAGCCATGCATGTGTGTGTTTGTATTTGAAAGCCATATCTCTTCTTCCATGCCGAATCATTAGATGTGTCAGGCCCGTTTAACTGTGACTCTGATGAGCAGTGTGGTGCAGACGTCTGTAATGTGGCTGACAGAGTGGTGATGGATCATTCAGCCACACTTTCGCCACCTAGACACGCTGTAAATGACTTTATTGGAGGTTTGTAATGGCTCGTGATGGCTGCCGTTGTGATCGTTGTGCTCGCTTTTCTTTGTTTCTGCCTGTTTTTCTTGTTTTTTTAATGTCCTGATCTGTCAGCGGCGCGGCGCGTGTTGATGAGACACGGCGATGCGGGCTGTATGGATGCTGTGAAACTCTGCAGATAATGCATTTTTCTTTCTTACTGCAGCTCATCTTTTCTCTTCAAATTTGCATCTGCTTGTTTACTGCTCTGTGCTACTTTGGTGCCATTTTCTTCTACTTTGTCGTGACCCTTTCTTGTGCTGCTCTTTCCATTTCCCTGACTTGTCCTTTTCTTTCTCCTACTTGTCTTTTCAACGCACATTTGCATTGGCCTTTTTGTGACTCCACTGCCTCGATGTCATTTCCCTTTACTTTATCTGCTCTCTTCTGTTCTCTTACTCTATTTAGAGACGCCTCCATCTCCCAGTCTCCACTGCTTATTTGTTTCTTTTTTTTCCTCTCGCTCCTCTTTTTTCCATCTGTCTCCATCAGTCTTATCGCCTCAGTTTTTTTCTGCATCACCTTCTGTCTCGACTTAATTAATTTCTGTGTCGATCCATTTAAAGCTCACTCTGTCGTTTTTGTCCTTCCAGTGCGACCCAGGAGAAGCTACAAAGTTGCTGTATGACCTTCTGTACACCGAGCCTATCAAGATCGTCCTGATGCCCGGCTGCAGTGGCGTCTCCACGTTAGTGGCTGAGGCAGCTCGCATGTGGAACCTCATAGTGGTGAGTGTCTTCCTTCACGCTGTTCCTGTTTTACTCCAGATGTTTACATTTTTCAGACAAACGTGAGGCTTAACCTGAAAATCTCTTCACATAATAACAGCCAAAGTAGAATTTACCCATATTTACTTTCGTGATGTGCACATAACGTCCAAATATGTGTCCATTATTATTTATATCCCTTTACTCCATAAGAGTCTGAATATTATTAAAATATATAATATTTGATATATTGTTAAAATCTTGTTAACAAGCGGTCACACAGGCCTAGCAGCAGGATAATAAGGCACTGAGTGGCTGGTTGGTTGTAGACAGTCACATGGGGAATCAGTGGTAAACAGGTATATGCTGCTGTGCTGTGGTCACTGGCAGGTTGCCACGGTTGCCCACAGTTTGCAAGGAAGATGCTGACTTGTCTGCAAAAACTTGCCAAGTGTTCACTGAGCAGCAGTGAAACTTTGGAGTGGATGCAAACCTGAAACTGAAACCGTTCACCTTTAAAGTAAAGTTGCATTTTTGTGTTTATTGCAGAGGTCTCGGTTTCTGCTCAGCAATTAGTTCGGGAGAGCTTGTAGACAAATCGGCTTGTTCTACCAATGATGGGCGACCTTAGCAACCTGCTAGCAACCTAGGCAGGTTTTCAATGTAGCACTCTTTTGTTTTTTTGCATCTGATTTCACCTAGCAACAGTAGGCAACTACCAACAACTATAACTGTCAAGGTTAAAATATAGACAGTATTTGGTTGCCACTTTTCTTATTTGACTTTAAAGAGAGTTGCCAGGTGGTTGCAGAGCGGCCTCTGAGTGGCTGAGGCCTGACATCTGTCTCTAACAGTCTGCTGACTTCTGTCCATAAAACAAAACCTTTTCTTTATTTCCTGGGTATCGTTCTGTGTTTTTGTTACTTTGCTGCCTACAAAATGGATTTTTTTCTCCACCATTTTCCCCTCAGGAGTGCTGGTGTCATCCAACTAGTGCTTCCATTTTGGAAGCTTGTTATGTGTTTTACAGTCATGAAACTGAGTTGTTATTGGACTTTTAAAACTGCAGTCATTTATGAATGTAGCCAATCATTTTCCCTTTCCAGTGGCAGTAAGTGTGGGTAGTTTGGTTGGATTTCAGCCAAGCTATTCCCTAGTTTTACGCAGCAGGCGCCTACACTATAATTAGTAGCGGGAGAAACACAAAACTGTTTTGAATAATAGTAAAAAGTTTTATAGTAATTAAAGTGCTTCACCGTGTTTTTTCAGTGTCAGCAAAGTGGGTGAAAATAGTATAAGTAGTTAAACTAAGGCCATTTGGAGCAATATGTAAGGAGTGAGAACACCAGCGTCATAGAACCTAAAGGTCTGAATTTATGACATAAAGCATGTTCTAATGCGATATCCCAGATTATAACTTTTTGAGTCATGTTTTAGTTTTGTTTTGTAGCCACAAGTACACGATGTTATACCTTTCAAACTTGACTGAGATTGAAAATTTTCCTGGTGATTGTTGTGATTGTTGTCTGTAAGTCTGAGGCTGTGTTCTACATACGCTGCTCACAAAGGTTTCAGGGTTTTCACCTTACAGTATGACGTGCCTCAGGGCTATACAAAGAAAACGGAATCAAAAACATCAAAGAAACACAGTATAACATCAAATCAGTTAAACTGTGAGGTATCGATCTGGTCAGTTAAGCAGCAGAGGGCATTGTTAATCGGTTTCAGCTGCTTTGGTTTTAATGAAATTAACAACAGGTGCACTAGAGGGGCAACAATAAGACAACTGCCAAAACAGAGTCAGTGTTACTGTGATACCTGGAGCCTACAGAAGCTGCATGGGTAGTCCAACTCCTCCAGGATGACACCTCAATGTGTGTCATTGCCACAAGGTTTGTTGTGTCTCCCAGCACAGTTACAAAAGCATGAAGGAGATTTAAAGAGAAAGGCAGTTACTCGAAGAGAGCTTTGCAGGGCTATAGAAGGTCCTTAACCCATCAGTAAGACTGGTATCTGCTCCTTTATGTAAGGAGGAACAGAATGAGCACTGCCAGAGCTACAAATAGACCTCCAGCAGAACACACTGGTGTGAATGTCTCTGACCAAACAGAAAGAGACATCACGAGGGGACCTGAGGGCTGGACGTCCTCTGTCTTCACCGTTGATTGAAATCCATCATTGGTGTTTTTCACAGATTAGAGCAAGTTCAGCCTGAGCACACGCGACAGACGTGAAAGGATCTGGAGAAGCTGCGGAGAACGCTATGCTGCCTGTAACATTGTTCAGCATCACCTGTTTGGTGGTGGGTCAGTGGGAGCCAAGGGTGGCATATCCATGTAAGATGTAGAATGTGCAGTGGGTGCTGGGTAGGTTGATCATTTTCATTTTATGCTTCGGAAACAGATGGCAACGTTTCGCTCCTCACGCATTACCCAGTCCAGTATAGATATCCGTGATTTAGATTTTCTTTTTAATATCTGATGTGTTTTCAACGCGTTCCCTTAATGTTTTTTTAAACCAATCCAGTGTCCTCTGAGAGTCGTCTCTCTGATATCGATTGCTGCTTTATCCTAAATCTGAGGCGTGTTTATCTGCTGTTTAGGACTCTGTGGCGATACGTCCTGTGAGCCTTTACCTATGTTCTCTGCAATAACATGTTTGTGCACAAAACATTTCTGAACTGGTCATTTAAGTTTCCTGAATCTCTTTCCTGCTAGAGTGAACGTTGATTTAAAGGATTTCTTTATCACTTTGCAAAAAGGAACTCTGAAGAGCTGATTTGGCGTACTTTTAATGGTGTACCTTTTTCCGAAATGTATTGATATATGCCAAAAATATTTAGTAACATGCCAACTTGCTTTGCACTGTGTCAGCATCTCCGGCAAATAATGAATCGGCTTATATTTGAAAGAGGTTTGTAGATGGTTAACTAAAGCAACTGCTGTAAACAGTAACTGTGTCCACTGCCAGCCTGCACAAGTTTGGAAAAAGGTTTTAGCAACAGCAAGGTGTGAAGATGTAAAGGAGCTGCTCAGCATCGAAGAGCTTCATCTGTCAAATATGCTGTTGGATGTTTTGGCCTTCACACCTGTACCTTACATTTCCCTGATCACAGAACTACAGCAAATAACGATCCTACACGTTTAGCTAAAATGGTAAAATCTAGAAAATTCTTAAATAGCCAAATCAGTCGTGTTATTCTGTAAGCCAACACTAAATTTAGCGCTGTGAAGCCCAGTTTCAAAGTTTCAGCATTTCTTTTTTGGAGCTATGAATGATTATATTTAGACTCACCCTCCATAGGACTGTTCTAAAGGATTGCATTGGCTCATACCAGGCTGTAAACATGAGCAGACAGGAGGCTGCTAAGTAATCAGCTCACACCAAGCAGGAACATCTCGGGCTAAAACATTAAGTCAATGTAGAGTCACTTACTGTAAACGAGTCAGTTCCCAAACTCTCATGTTAAAATGGCCAAATATGTCGCATTTTTAAAGCCTGGTACAAAAAAGTTTGAATCCTTAGACCTAAACTTTGTGACAACTACACAGAGACTGAATTTATTTTATAGCTCACCCATTGTATTAAAACTTGAAGGCAGGGGAATAGCAGCTTTGACAGGTGGGCCAACACAAGCAGCTGCAGCTGATAGCTCTCTGCTCTGCCTCACCTCCACTAATTGAAAGCACTGAACTGGACCTTTTGACTGTTTTTGTGCTGTTGGTGCCTTTTGAAGCATTTTAATGGAATTATCTGACTAATGTTAAGACTTGCTTTATGGTGCAGCCTGTACAAGAAAGGCGTGTTTCGCTCTTGATTCAAATATTTTACTATTCTGTTACTGGGCACTAATTAGCAGATATGTGTGTGTTTGTGTTGCATCCATGCAGGTTCTTGCTACGAAACTATAAACATGGTATTAGCCAAAATGCTAAAATCTGGCTTTAAAATGTGTGAGTCTGTGGAGACCGATTTGCTTTTGGGACCAGCCTCAAGTGGTCATGTGACGAACTGCATGTTTGCCATTTTTTGTGTTGGCTTCCTTTTTCAATCCTGGAAAAAAATCCCATTCCAGTTGTTTTATTAGCAAAATTAACAGCGCGGAGCGCAGAAGCGAACAAAAGAGGCTCTGTTACAGCAGTTTGTCTGCAGAGAACGAGAGCCAGATGCCAAACAAACAGGCTAAAAAGACAATGCTGTCCCATGTTCCTTTGTCTCTGTGGTGAACTTTGGTTCTGCGTAGCATGGAGAGGGCTGTAAGCTGATAAAATCCTTGACAACGCTGCCATTTATCTCTCTGCTTTGTGCAGCTGAACACTGCAAACGCAGTTTTAAAAGACTTCAGAAAGGATCTTTAATTAGTGTTGAGACTTTACAAGACTGACAGCTGCGCTGCTGTCTATGACAAAGAATATTTATTGGCCTCAATACAGCATCATAATATACGTACAGTATTTATGACAAGTATTAAACACAACCCAGATCTTTAAAAGAGTGAGAGATCCGTTGCTGTCTTCTGCTGCTGTGATTTTGTTGAAAGCATTTCAGCTTTTTATGCCTTCATCACTCAGTTTATTTTGTTTATCTCATTCTTTCTTCTCTTGATCTGCCTCTCTGTCACTCACGGCGCTCTGCTTATTAGCTTTGTCCCATAATTGAAGTTTCATCCAGAGATTAGTCATCGAGAACAATCAGTTCTAGCGGTTGGCATCTGCCCCTCTTTCTCGTTTCTGGGCTTTCTCAGTTTGCCACCCTTTTTTTCCTCGTCGTTAAAGACTCTTTTCCACTTTCTGACTCTTCGCCTCTCTCCTTTCTTTGTCTGTCTCTGCCTGGAGCTGGGCTGCTCTATTACAACCCCAGTTTTCTCCTTCCTTCCTTCCTTCCTTCCTCCTTTCATTCTCTAGCTTTCTCTGTGGCTCTCTCCCACTCTTCATTTCCGCCTCAATCTCTCAACTCGAGCAGTCGATTCTCCCTGCACACAAAGGGATCTGTCTCTCTTTACTACACGCCACCACTGGCACAACCACCTAACCGCCACACTCAATTATTTCTGGATGCGTTCTGCCTGCAGGAACCTCCTCGCATGTCAAACAGCTTCATCACAGTGCTGGGGAGGCAAACGCAACCTCTGTTTTTGGACACTGATCAAGGAGGGTCTCTCCATCAGCTCCTTTTAGCACAGTGTTCATTTGTTCCCCTATCTTCCTTTCTAAAAGCACTGTAAGCCACAGACGGGCAATGATCTGCTACAAGGCTACGAGAGAGCTGTCGATGTGAGAATTGAGAGATATTGTTGTGGTTCTGGGGGAGCTTCGATGTGGAACTCTGCTTGTCTCTGCATGCTGCTGCGTGGGTCTATTTCTGCCACAGCAGCTTTTGCATTTCACTCGTGTCACTGTTTTCATGTCTGGTGAAGAGTTATTTGAGTGTTGCCAGTGTTGAGTGTAGCTTAGGTTTGACCTCAGTTAAATTATTACACTCTTGCAGGCACTGTGCTAATGAAGCCCCTTCAAAAACAAGCTGAAAACACTTCAGGTTTTCTAAGTGTTTGAGTTGATGACATTAAACGCTCTGTTGACCCAAATTAACAAACTTTCCACTTTATTTTATGTCCCTCATCTACATCTACACCCTCAGGGGTAGGGGTGCAGTACAAGTCAATTCATAGACAGGTACAGTCTTCACAAAGTCTTAACTGGGGCTCATTAATGTACAACAAGATCTCTATGTGTAGTTATTTGAGGGCCAAAAACGTTTCCAAGCAGTAAAGGAACAACTGTGCCATTATTTCATCCACAGTTCACCATACAACAGCACAGATCCTGTAGCACTCATATCAGACATGCATGGACAACAATCTAAGATTAAAAACGGGTTTAAGAAGATCAACACAACACAACAATCTCTGAACAGACACGTAACCTGTCCAGCCGTCGATCATATGCTGACTCCCACAGTGGTGCTCGGTTAGCTTTCTCTACTTTTTTAAAGATGTAAAAAGGTGTAAAAAAAACCCAAAACAGACACACTGCCATCACCAGTGTGTGAATGTGTGTGTGAATGACTGAATGTAGTGTAAAGCACTTTGGGGTCCTTAGGGACTAAGTAAAGCGCTATACAAATACAGGCCATTTACCATGTAAGGTCAGGAGAAGGCCTGTGTTTGACCAAAGAAAAACGATTCATTTCTCTTGTGGATTTTAAGGTTTTACTGGTTATTTAAGTTCAGTTAAGAAGATTTAATATATCTGACAGCTTTTAATGTGTATGTGTTTTCTGTAATGGTGTCACAGTGTTAGAAGCTGAGCTTTTGCTCAGTTTTTCCTCTCACATTGCAAATCAATCCATGTTTGAGTTGGCTGTAGGTCCAGGTATATAGAGATAGATTTGAGTAGAAGAGCTACATAAATATCAGTCAATTTCCAAATGTATGAATAAATATGATAATAATATATAATATAAATACATTCTGTACCTAATTTTGACAGTTTTTTACTATTTAGCATGCATTGGATCACTAGCAAACCAGTCAGATATAGTTAGGGTTGGATTTTAACCACATGTTAAACAAGCCAAGTGTCAGAAACCTGAAGGAGTGGCATTTGAATCTGGTCTTTAAATGGATGTTTTCCTTACAGTTCTTTTCATTATAATTTGTTTGGTTATACCAAAGTGGTGACAATTTTATATGACTGGCTACGTTTTAGTCTCGTAACCCGAGTCCTGCCTGTGCCTCTACACAGACCGCCAGCCTCCGGGTCGATATCAAGGGCTAAAGTCAGTTTCACTAGAGATTTAAGGCAAGTTTCCACAAATGTAAGACTATGTTTGCAACACCTCCAGGGACAAGAGAATAAAATAAGGAACTTTTTTGTTTCTAAGTGTAGTGATATTCGTGTCTGGAATTTTTTCCCATTGGTGTTATTTGCCCAGGCTTTGTGATATCAACCTCTGAGACGGGGCCCTCTGCCCTCGGTTGAATGAATCTCCCTTGATGCGTGATAACTGCATGAAACAAATCACAATTTCAACAGCAACACGTCAAACAACCACTAGGCCTCAAATGACTTTTGCATTCACTTCTCGCCATTTAACAGACATGTGAAAGTTCACTGATGAACAGGAGGCTGAATTGAAGGATACTTATGGATCATTATTTTGAGTGATTATTCAGGCTTGTTGTAGAGGATTGGTCATCACGGCCGTAATTATTCCCTGATTTATTCCCCAGTCATACTGTGAGATTGGATTTGCGGGTGACAAAGTGAGGAAGGCTTACAACGACTTTGGTGATCTCCTGAATTTTCCTTGCAATGTTCATCCAAGCTTAAAGTTGACCACACCAGCAGCTGTAGCTGAAAGCTTATACCAAACGATTTCCATGAACATTGATAGGTTGTCACCAGTTTATGGATACAGCTACACCATCTACTCCAGATATGGTTATGTATGGCTCCAAAAACCATCAACACTTAAGTCTCGTAGCTAAAGGAACCTACAGTAGGAAATATTACAAACCTCAGTATGTTATCACACTGACATGAAGTATTCTTCATGCTGAACATGAATGTTGATGCGGTTTTTACTCTTCTGTTCACTGGACTGATACAAGTTCGCTTCCTTATTTGGGATTGGCACAAGAGAAACTAGTTTCAGTGTAATGAAGGAGCATTTTGTGCCATGAACAGGAAGTTGAAGTACGGATCATTATTTTGAGTGATAGGCACGATAAGTTCATTACCTGTTTTGTTGCTCCATGTTGACAGTATAATTTATGGCCTACCATATTCTCTCACCCCAACCAATCACGGCAGATGGCCCCGCCCCTCCCTGAGCCTGGTTCTGCCGGAGGTTTCTTCCTGTTAAAAGGGAGTTTTTCCTTCCCACTGTTGCCAAAGTGCTGATCATAGGGATTCATTCTTTAAAAGATTCTTTAAAAAATAAACATATGTGGCTGTCATTAAACTTCCATCTCAATGGTTGCTTATTCTCATGTATGTATGTTATCCATCACATTTATACCTGAGCATGTGTCATCCTTCAAAGCTCCCGTGGTTTTCTTCAGATCCTTCGCCACCGCTCCCACATCAGCTGTCACTTCCTGTAAAGTTTCTCCTCCTTCGTATTGATGCCTTCGTCTACGTGCCTTTCCCCACAGGAATTTGTTATTGTGGGGAGTCCACATCACACATGACATTTGACATCAGTCATCGAGCCCCCTCTCGCTCCCAGTGGAGAACATCTCACAGCTATAGGTAATGGGGCCGAGATGAGAGCTGAGAGTAGGAGAGGCAGCTCGTGTCTTTAATGGCTCCCTAAACGGCAGGTTCCTCATTTTAAAGAAGGCCTGTCGAGGATTTTATTTCGACTTGTCACTGTGAGACTAATTGATAGAGGAACGGTTTTCTTCTGCTTCTACTGACATTTTCTAACAACCATTTTCCCCGCTGCCTTTTTTGAGGTATTATGGCTGAGAACTCTTATTATATAGGTCCATATTGCTTTGAGACTAGAATAATTTGATTATTTTTAAATGTATGTCTGTAATCGTGGCGTCGGCAATCTTGGTTTCATGGCACTTGATGCACGGAGAACCCTGCAAGAGTGATTTAGTGTGTTTTTTGTGGTTCGTTTGTTTTAAATGAAATTATGGAGTTCATCAACATCTAATAAGCCATAGGAAAGCCTAAAGAAGTGAGGGGGTGTGTAAGAAAAGGAGAAAATGGGAGTAGGGAATTTGTTTTTGGTTTTCTTTCTTTTTAATGGCCTTCTTTTCCGGCCCATCAAAGACAACTTTGGACAGGAACATCTATTTACTGGGTGAACCTTCAAAATAGATTACTTTTTCTCTTTTTCCACAAACACCAATTTCCAGGGCTGAAAAACGAAAGCCAGCTTTCAGACGTGTCAAAATCTGCAGTTCGTCTAATGGCCCCTTGAGGCTGTCAACAATTCGTACAGACTCCAGCGTTAAAATGCGAAACTTTATAGCCCTAAAAATCTACAGAATGGTTTTTGGGATCTATCCATACCCTTTCATAGATCATGTTCTATAGCGAGTACAGGGTTTATTATATTTTATTTATATTTTTATCTACATTTCACACAGCGTACCGGCATGTTCAGAATTTCCATATATATAGTATATATTTCTTTAAGTGCCTTTTCTGTTTTCTGTCTTGCAACAAGCCCTCTCAATTATCTTTGTGCTCTTGGTGCCTTTGGAAGCATTTTGATGGGATTAGCTGAACAATAACACGACCTGCTGGTTTTTATCACTCGGTTATCATCTGCATTAAGTCTGTGACTTACACTGACAGCCCAAACTAGCAGCCTAAACTTGTTAGCACTCTTTTGTGCATGTGTAGTCGTTACCTGCTCCAAAGAACAAGCATCACAAAAGCCAAAATACTAACGCTGAGCCTTTAAAGTATGGCCACCAGTGAGGAGGTGCTACACCTGAACGTCTACAGCGTCCGCTCCTTCCTCATTAACTGTTTTATGCTTCTTTTGTTTTCGCAGCTCTCCTATGGTTCCAGCTCACCAGCCCTGTCCAACCGCCAGCGTTTCCCGACATTCTTCCGCACGCACCCGTCAGCCACCCTTCACAACCCCACCAGGGTGCAGCTCTTCAAGAAGTGGAAGTGGACTCGTATCGCCACGATTCAGCAGACCACTGAAGTCTTCACTTCCGTCAGTACCTTTAATCTTCATCACTCTTTTGTCTTCAGCTCTCTCTTCTTGCTTGCTCACTCCTGGCTTTATGGCCTGAGCCTGGCTGCTTGCTTGCCAGCCTCTGAATGTTTGTTTATGAGCAGGCCAGGCTATACACCTTTAAGCAATCTCTCCTGGCGATTGATGGAGGATTTTTTTTTAAGTAATTTGTTGGAGTATTGCTTGTGAGAAATATTGATCTGGCAGGACACTCTCCTAGCCATAGCGATCGATACCAGCGTCACTTGGGTTGGTTCCTGTAATGGAGGTTAATGATTCTGCTCGCTCTTCCTTTCCTCCCGCTTCTCGCATTCTTCTTCTTTCCAGTCATGTCTTTGTCAAAAAATCTATTCTCTCCCATGCTGTCTTGTTTTTATTTATCATACATGCCCACAGTCTCCATCCCTCTCTTGGTGTTTCTCATGTACACTTCAGATTTATTTATTTCCCCCCCTCTGGACTTAGCTGCATTTCTTTTGTCTTTCTGTGTAATCTCAACCTGCCTTCTCTCTTCATCTCTCTGTTCGGCCGCCTCTCTAACCTCCTCTTCCTCCCCCCTCCCTGTCTGTCTTCGTCTGTCCTTCCCTTTCATGTGGCAGACTCTGGATGATCTGGAGCAGAGGGTGAAGGAGGCAGGCATCGAGATCAGCGTTCGCCAGAGTTTCCTCACCGACCCGGCTGTCGCTGTCAAGAACCTCAAGGTGCTTTGATTAAAAATTCACCTCAGCTGCTGGTCGTCTCGCTCCCCCCCTCCTCTCCCCCTCTCCTTTCTCCTCTGGCTCACAGCTGCACACGATGCCATTAGCATAGAGGCGATTTGATAGAGGAAATTAATGCGCCATGCTAATTAGCAGCTCCCGAACAGCAGCATGTGCCATCCTGTGAAGCGGCAAGACTTTGGCACATTGTGCTGCCACATCAGACTGCACTACTGAAGTTCTATTGTTGCTGCTGATGTAACTAAGCAATGTTTTGTTATGATTTGATGCAGCGCCAGGATGCTCGGATCATCGTGGGGCTCTTTTATGAGACCGAAGCACGGAAGGTGTTTTGTGAGGTTGGTACCTTTTCCCTGCTCAATTGATCCCCGAACGCCCAACCTGACTGGCTATTAGAAGAAATTGAGCTCTGTAATGGGCTCTTTGAATGTCTGAATGAACGTCCTTGTTTGGCAGCGATACAACACGCTCAACTGGGAATAATTTAGCTTTCTCTTCATCCTTCTGTGCTGCAGGTGTTCAAGGAGAAGCTCTATGGGAAGAAGCATGTGTGGTTCCTGATAGGCTGGTACGCAGACAACTGGTTTAAGATCAAAGACCCGGCCATCAACTGCACAGTGGAGAACATGACGGAGGCCGTGGAGGGTCACGTGACCACCGAGATCGTCATGCTGAATCCTGAAACTGTCCGTGGAGTCTCCAACATGGTGGGAATGCAAATGGCTCCTCTATTTAATGCATTAAAGAGATTAGTTGTATTAATCAGGGAAAACATGTGTAGCTTGATCGACAAATAATGAGTGTTGGTAACTGGATTACAGAGAAAACATCGCAATTCAAAGTAATTAAGGCAATTTGATCGAACGATGGTGTTTAATGAGCTTATAATGACATTAAATAGAGCTCACCTGTTCTTTGTCCAGCACTTTGGGGAGCCGGTAACACATACAATGCTTTGGTTCATGTCTACAAACTAATGACATTCCCATCAGCCTCGCCTGTGCTTTTGTTGATTAGCAAAAACACAGATTTATACTTCTTGGCTGCCACCAACTTCTTTGAAATGTTTCAATATTCATATTTAAAGTATTGAAACTTGATAAATTTCCAGCCAATTTTCCAGCTTTGTGGTTTGTGGCAAATGCCAGATATAGCAGCGATTCAGCTGTAGATAGTAACAGCTGTCAGGAGACGGCTCCCGACAGCTCTGATGGAGTTCGGGACATGACCTTGGTGCAGTTGCTGTAACAGATTATTGAATTGTAAGACCTTAACTCTAACTGTGTGACAACTCACCTGCATGAGTTCCAGAAAAGTAGATTGTGATTAAGCGTAAGGTCCTCACAAATCCCGTCTGTGTTGGCAAAAGGCCTAATTCATAGTTATGAATATTTAATGAAGTTAGCGCTGTTGTGCCGTGCGCACAAATGTGTGTAAATCTGCACAACTCCGATGCTTTGGAAACGTGCAGGTATTTAATGAAGTCAAACAGCTGGAAGCTGGAAGGGCGCTTTGAGGCTTAATATTATTTGGCGTGTTTGTTTGGGCAGCGTGAGAGAGTGCAAGAGTGAAGTCAAAAGTGCCAGAACTGTGAGTTGGCAAACCTGCATAAAAATGTAATAGAAAAGGAAAGATTTTTATTTTTAATCTCTTTTCCTTTCCTACACTCATAAGGCAGATTCAGGATGCTCTGCTCCTTTGAATTTGCGAGACGTGGTCCAGATCAGATGGGTGCAGTACGCACCAGGTGTCAAAACCAGCTGTACCAAAAATCGGGGAATGTAGAACTGTTGAAAACATAACACGAGGGAGCGTCACTTCACTCGTGCCACGCCCGTCTCCTCGGAAATCTGTGCGTGCAGACAGATCTCGACACTCGCATCTGCTTCCTGGCACGACAGCTGAGGTTTTAAGACAGACGAGTGTGCAGAATGTTCTTTTTGTCTGGGCTCTAAAACAAAACCACCGCTAACATCAAGTAATATTTCATCTTAAAGTTAGCTGGAGGAGCTGTAGCTGGAGGATTTGTTGCAGACTGTGTATTAAAGTGGGGATAATGATGTAAGTGTACACGGCCACGGCAAACAGCGCATGTGGGAGGGTTAACTCACGTGTACAGTACAGATGTGCGCCTGATGTGAAGCGCCCTAAAAAAGTCCAGGCACATTCATTTTTCCTTCTTTTTTTCCTCAGTTCAATACCTTCATATCATTTTGTGACGTCCCCAGTTTGCACATAACCACATCTTTCACCTGACTTTACATTTGTGAGTGAGGTCCACATACCTACATGGTGCGAGATAAATGGGCAGTCAAAGCCCCAACAAGTTCTGCTTTGAATGGCACGCAATAATGAAAGTCTTTTTGCCATTGTGACAAACAATCATCAGAAACTCGCAGTGCATGACGCGCTGCCCACTTCTCTGTTCATTGGTCACAGTTTAAGGTTCCCCTCTTCCCAAAGTATTTCCAAACTGACTCTACTGGAAATCGCTGGGTCACAAATGCCATCATTACAACTATATCACCACAGTTGTTCTTGCTGGCCTAAATGTTCCCTCTGCTGGCCTACAGCATTACATTTTATAATTTTGAAATGCTGTTAACGTCTCATTTTTATAAAAAATATATATAGAAAACAGCCTAAAAGAGCTGCTAGTTGTTTGTGGTCTCTGTATGCTCCTCTTTTCTCTCTTCTCTTCCCCTCACCCCACCACCACCAGTCGCAGCAGATGGCTGCTCCTCGCTGAGCCTGGAGGTCTCTTCCTGTTAAAAGGGAGCCGTTCCTTCCCTCCATCACTGTGTCAATAAAACTCAATGGAGAAAAAGACTTTTAAAAAATGAAAAGGACCAAACAAGTGGTACTGATATCAGTCGGTTTGTGCTCTGTTCTACTAATTGGAGTCTGTCTCTTTCCTTGAATTAACAGTGTATGCATAATATAATCAAATTTAGTATATTCTCTCTCGAACCACACCTGAAATCTTTACCTGGAGACGCACTTAGTGCTCTTTAAAGGCACTTTGTCTGTTTAAATATAGTTCACACTTGTCAACACAATTTGAACACAACCAGCGTGACTTAATGTCCAAAAATCCTGGGCATGGTGTTTAAGCAATGTTAACTGAAGTTGGTCTATGGCCAGGACTTAGTGTGACGTAATGTCATTTTCCTGTAATGCTGCTGTGAGTCAACCGGGAAAGTCATTAAGAGGTGGCCCGGGAAAAGGCGAAGCTTCCTGAGGAAAAACGGGAAAGATTAGAAGAAATATTGGAAGTGAAAACAGCAGCTGCACTCATCTGAAAACATTCACGTTTTAGTTAAAATATGCAGAGAGTAATTACAAAAAGTATTTTATTAATGAAATGAAAGCGATTAAAGCATTTTTGGCTCTTTTTTTTTAATTGCTTTAAATGTAATTTAATTTGCTCGCACCGCAGCTTCAGGCGATCGCTTGTAAATAAACAGCTGTGATGGCTTCCTCCTGTCCTGTTGATGTGTATTCTGAGCCGTCATTCATTCACTGTTGCCAGGTTTCAGCTCTTATATATCTGGATCCTCGTGAGGCACGAGTTATTTCAGGAACGGCTGGCATGTTAAGAACAATAAAGTCATAGCTTCAGTGAACTTTGCATGACCTGAATCGATAATGTGTTTGCTAAACTGCTGAGAATGCCTGGGAGTTTATGCATTTAAATTATCAGCAGCTCGCTTTTTCTCATTTTTGTCCGACGCTCATTTAGCTTCTCAGGTGCAGTCGCTCTCCTCTGTTTACCTGCTCTAATCCTCTTACGCCGTCTCCTCTTCTCTCCCTTTTCCCTTTTTTCTTCGACCTTCTCCGACTGCCGTGGATCATCCCGTCATTCTTCTTGTTTACCCATCTCTCCTTTACCATTTCCTCGTCCTGCCTTTTCTCACCACCACCCTCCCCTCCATCCCTCCCTCCTTCCCTTGCACTTCATCAGCAGCTGTTGTTTATATTCATACAGCACCTGCCACTACCTGCTGCTTTAGCTGTTGACGAGTGCTGCTCAACGGGCGATAAGAATTACAGCCAGAACTCCTGCTCCCTGTCCGTCTATTCAAATTCAATTTCTAAGTTTGAAATTGGCATAGCACTCTTAGATAGAGCACTCAGATTAAACTACTATGCCAATACTGCAGGGTCTGCAAAGCACATTGTCAGCTAGTTTTCAGAAGGCAGTGGCAGATTTAAATGCCAAATGCCAAGGTGGAATTTCAATTAGACGAATTTGACATAAGTGAATTGGAGTGTGTGTAGGCCTAATTGGCCTCAAAGAATCCACAGAGACACAATGATGAATGGTAGCAATAATTTCCCATTGCGCGTGTATCCAGGCTTTCAGCGGGAGATAATTTTGATTGGTGTTTAATCACAAAATGAGTTCTAAACTCAAATGCTTGTGAGAAAAGGAAAAAGTTGGCCTGTCTTAAGATTACTGTAAGAGTGTAGCAAAGCAATAAAGATGCCTGGGGATCAACCGCAACCAAAGAAAGAGATGTGACAGATATGTGTGATACAGTTAACGATCAGCTTCCTCACCAAAGGTTAGATGAGACGACTAACAGGGCACGTAAATGAATATGAGGATGGAGATTTTCTTTTTTCTTTGTACAATAACTTTAAATAAATAAAAATGTTACTTTCCCACTATGAATCTCTTCCGAGTTGCAGTTGCTTAATTACGTGGAGTCGGGTGGAATTTAGTTTCTTTTGAAGTCGCTTTATTTTTGATCCTTCGTTAAGGGCTCTGTTCCAGAGAGCAGGTTTCATGAAGATTCCGTTTTTTAACCCTGAGATGAAGCTCCGGGGTTTCTGTTCCAGAAAGAGAGCTAAGTTAAACTTTAAGTCGGTTACCATGGTAACTGACTCTGTGAACCTCATCGGCTTGCCTGGTTTCTCTGAGTTTCTCTGTGACTCCTCCCCTCCTGAGCAGGAGGGGACAGCTGGTTCCCACCTCAACCAGATTTTTGTGCTTTTTTTCTTGTACATTTCCCACCTGCCACCTTTCTTTTTCTTCTCACATCCACTCATTCCTGCGTATTATTTTTAACGACTGATCAAGTTTAATGATTCCCAGGCTTCCGGGAAAAGGTGCTGGAGCTCCTGATGGGTTGTCTATCACTGCAAAGGAAGTGATTTTTGGTACCAGAAGCTTTCTATGAGCTTTTTATTAGTTTTTTGTTTTTTAAATTTATGTGATTTGTTAATGGTCAATACTTGGACCATGAAATCTTGGAATTAATATCTGCATACCCTGTCTACTCAGGAACCCTGGAGGCTAAATCACCAGACTAGCACATGATAAGCTTAGATGGGCATACATTTGCATAAATAGGGAAAACACAAGTAAAATCTTGTTTGATAAATCCAAACATGTTTTTCAGGGAGTTCTGTGTTTCATAAGTCTTTAGAAACACATAGCGGTTAGCTTAGCCGACACAGCTCTGAATACCAGAAGGCTATTCTGTTTAGAAAAGTAAAAGATCAATTATTTAGGGTCCTGTCCACATGAGGGGTATTGAAAGGGTCCAAGTGCCCCTATGCCCAGCTCTACTGCCCCTCAAAAGCCCCTCTGGCTAGCCCAAGTACTCTCTAGCCAGCACAAGAGACCCTATGGTTAGCACAGATGCTAATCCTGTGTGATCCTAAAGCATAACTCCACCATTAAAGTGGGGCCCACTCCTGACATGCTGCTATTTGCTATGCACCCTTCCTCTTGTTAGCATATATTTTGGCAGACAGATATCAGTTCAGGTTGGCTGCACATAGAAGGAGCTTTTTTATTTCATCATGGTAGAAGCAGTATTTATTTATTCTGAACCAAATTTATTTTTAACACTCCAATCTCCACCAAGTTCAGCTTGTCGCAGAGAGATGGTTTCTGACTCTGAAGCCGCTCACTTTTTTCCTCGGTTTATTTGAAGTGGGAACAAGTGTTTACTACAGGAGAGTAAAAATAAATCCTAAATCAAATACACACATTATAGTGAATACCAGAAATGACTTCCAAAGATCTGAGGGTCGATTCATTTGTTGGCTCTTCAAGTTTTTTGCTTTAGTTATGTGAATATCTAGCAACACAAATAAAAAACGAGTCAATGTAAACCTTCTTTGCAGTGTTGCATTTCTTGGCTCTTTGATGTCCTCTCTGTCTTCCTTTTCTCAGACATCACAGGAGTTTCTCGCCGCCTTGATGTCTCGTCTGGGAGGGAAGAACCCCGAGGAGACCGGCGGGTTTCAGGAGGCCCCTCTAGCCTACGATGCAGTGTGGGCGCTGGCACTAGCCCTTAATAAGACTGTGGCACCGCTGAAGGCTAAGGGCCGACGTCTGGAGGATTTCAACTATAACAACCACGACATCACGTCCGAGATTTACAGGGCCCTCAACACAAGCTCCTTTGAAGGCGTCTCGGTAAGTGCAGAAGATGTAAGGAAAGGTGAAAGAGGAGCAGTGGCAAAGAAAACATCTGCTACCCTGTAGTTAGTTAGTCCTCAGAAATATGATTTTTAAAAAATCTAAATATTTAAAATAATGTTTTGTCTGGCCCCTAAAGCTATTATTAATTAGAACAATTAGGTTCAAATTATGCAAAATCAAATAATGTGAAATATAAGTAAATACCCCTTTTTTGACTAGAAACACAGCAATAACTTTCATACATTCACCAGTAACTTCACGTTTTTGGCATTTTCTTCTGATTATCGTCCCTCACGTTTTGCACCGCTCAGTCCTGAGCCAGCTTCAGCTGCTAACAAAAACTAGCCAGCATTTGCACATCACCTGAAATTCAGAATTCATTTAAAAATCTTAAAATGACATGTGGCCTCTACACGGCCAGGCTCACATAGGCTCTTACAGAGCAAGTCTGCTGAGAACTTATTCCAGCGATCGACCTCTCTGATCAACTGTTCCACGCTCTTCTTTCAAAGGTGACCGCGCTTTTGAGGCAGTAGCTCCTAAAATTGGAACAGCCTCCCTCTGCCCATCAGCTGCTGAAAACTCATTTTTACAGCTTATTTCCTGAATCACTCACCAGTTACTTTTGCTTATTGCTTATAAAAGAGCGTATGTTTGACTGTGGGATATGTAGATTTCTCTAATTTACTTCTTTAATTTGTGTTTGTTTGTTTGTTTTTTATCCAAACTGTGAAGCACTTTGCAGCGGTGTGGTTCCTGTTATAAAAACAACAGATATATGAATTTACAGGATACATCAAATTATTTTACATTAACTTTGACAAAAGGCATTTCATGTCACTGAAGAAATGACACTGAATAATAATAATAATAATAATAATAATAATAATAATAATCATAATCATAATCATAATAATAATAATAATAATAATAATAATAATAAAAACCAGTTATAAAAGTATGGAAGTGGGGATAAAATAAAAGCCATGCACAGTCTCGTGTCATTGGGTATAATCTATTGCAGTCCAGTGCAGCTGCTCCACCAGATGCCCAACGAGTTTCCAATCACTGAGCATTAAAAATGAATTTGAATATTGTGATTTTTCCACTTTGCATCTTGGAGACGTCTGCCAGCACATTGTGCACCCCACAAAAATGGACACCTTCCATGCTGTGTTCCAGTTAACACTGGGCACTGATCGGAAGGGACAGTTCACCCCGAAATGTCATTTACATATTTTTGCTCTGCCGTGTAGTTCAGTTTAATCCTCTAGATTGATTTGGTGTGAGATGCCCACAACTATCACCGCACAATCTTTCTGCTGTCTGTCATTCTGCTGGAAAACATCCTATTAAACAGTCAGAAGCATGAGCATCTAAGAACACGTAGTTGCATGCATCCTTCTGCATAGTGATTACTTTGGTTCCTACAATTGCATAAATTGAAATTGCTTTAAAGTTTGTGGATGTTTTTGTGGATGGGTATGACTTCTGGAAAGAGACATTGCTGCTCAGTTAAATTGTATTTTTTGATGTTTTGAACACCAAGGCGAGCGCAATTTACTCCATTATATGTGAGAGGGAGAGAGAGCCAATGCCTCAAAACTGGACAACTCGCACAAAAACAGTCTGGATGGATACATAGCACAACGGGCTAGGGAAACATGTAAATATGTATGGTGTATGATCACAGAGAAGCTGTGAGGGTCTGTTTTGAGAGACAATCACGTGCTCATGTGGGCAGCTCTGTGCTGGATGATCTGATATCCTCGTGTTGGTGTTGTTCCCAGACCATCATGAAAATGTTGTTCCAGGTTCAACATTGCAAGTGACCAATCACATTGTTGTGACGTTATTCCTTTGCGCGCCAAGCCATTCGTGCATTTATGAAATTCCAATGTTGCAAGGACAATATCAATTCTGCTTACTGTTTATTAAAGGGTTACGGTTAGGGTCAGGGTCCGTTGATCGGCGGACAGAGGCGGTTTCACGCAGCTTTAGAACAGTTTTTTGTTTTACGCCGCTTTTTCCCGAAGTCGCAAAAGTATGACGTCACAACATTCTGATTGGTCAATTGCAATGTTGATCCTGGAACAACATTTAGTATGATGATCTGGGAACAACACCAACACGACGATATCAGATCAACAAACCACGAAGGAGAGTCGCCTTTGAACTTAGTGTGAAACCTGGAATTTGACAGATGTTGGCTGTCTTTAGCTTGCAGAGATCATGCTTACTTACTTCTTCTAAATTCATTTGTGCTACAGAGCTCCTGTTATGTCTTGTGCCTTTTTTAGTCACACAGTTTGGTTTATTTTGAGCCAAGCTAATAGAAAGATGCACAAGCACATTGCTGTCTGGGCCCTTTGTTGCCGCCACAGACATCCGACAGTCTGGCAGTTGCCCTTGAGAGACGGGCGTTATGGTCAAAAACACCTGCAGCTCTGCTTCAACTATTACTTCTAACTACCCTGAAAGATATGCAGGCCACCATTTCTGTCTCAACACAAGTTCAAGAAACAGATTATATGAAGAATATATATCATATCTGCTCCCACCCCCCGCCGCTCCTCCTTTGATGCAGTGTCTCACTAAATCGATCTGTTGTCATTGATGGCTGAGCTCTTCTGTATGCTGTTCCGCTCTACATCATATAGCGCTAAATGTACTGTACATTACTACGTGAAGATATAACAATCATTATTTGTCTGCAGCAGCGCTGAACTGAACTTTACCGGTTGCCTGGTTTAAAAGCTGTTTGCATTTCTTGCCCATTTCTCTTCATCTCCGGTCTGTGAGCTGCAGGAGTGGTGTTAATCTCAGCAACCATTGGCAAAGAAAAGAATAATAACTAGTAATATTCCCTGAAATCCAGAATTATGTAGTTAAAAATTAGGCTTTTTATTTGCAATAATGTCAAGTTTCTGCTTTTTGAATGTGTCTCAGGGCCAGGTGGTGTTTGACGCCCAGGGATCCAGGATGGCAATGACTCTTATCGAGCAACTGCAAGGTAAAGCGCTTCTACGCTGTCCTCCCACGTTCAATTATAGTTGCAGAATCTGGACTGAATAATAAATGTCACTCATTGAAGAAAATCATTGCTCAATTTATTCAATGATGCATTGATTGCTGCTTTCAGCGCAGTCCGGAGAAAAGGCTCAGTTTAAGGGGCCCTTTAACTGCACATGTGAACGAGCTGGGTGCAGTGCGGTGTTGACTCGAAGCTTCACTCTAATTGGGCACCAGCCTTCGTTTTAAGCTGTTTCTGGAAATGGCATCCTATTTGTCACCAGTGACTTAATGAGTTTCCCTGCATGGGATAAGGTTGAGGATTATTTTCTACCTCTGTTCTCTTTGGCGTCCTAACGGATGAGAATTTATAATCCTGCCCCTTTCCCCTCACATTCGGTCTCATATTTCCTGTTGTGGTGTCGGGGTAATTTGACATCCACAATGAGACGACCTGACTCGAATCCCTGAATCACTGTGGGACCTCATCAGTATTCCTGGTCAAGACTGCCACATAAGCGCCTTTTTTTCCCTCTCTTTCTTTTCTCCTTCCACTCCCCTTGGTGCTTCTTTGTTTGTCCACCTTTTCATCCGTCGATTCTTTTGCGTATTCATTATGTGCCTTTTCTTTCTGTATTCACATATTGCACTGCCTAAACGGCAGCGGTATAAATATCAATGTTTATCAGCTCTCTCGAGGAGCAAATTAATTACAGAAGCAATGCTAATTAAACTTCATACCTTTCTTGCTTTCTTGTCTCTGCTTCTCAAACATGTAGGAGGCAGTTATAAGAAGATTGGTTACTATGACAGCTCTCAAGGGAACCTCTCCTGGTTTGGCAATGATGTTTGGATAGGTAAGATGGATTTTACGGCACCGATCGCTCAGCTTCCTGTGTCTGTATTTGTGTCCTGTATCATGCCGTGAGTCAGCCGGGTTACATGTTTGTGCTTTGACTTCAGACCTCCGCTGCGTGGCTTAATTTAGCCTCCTTTACTGTCTAAATGATGTATAATCACGGTGGATTTTTTTGTAACCACTTGTTTAGATGAAGCTAGTTATTTGGATTCTGACGCTCGCCCTCAAATTAGCCGGCTGCGCACTCACTGTCCAACATGTGTTAAAAGTGTTGGCGCAGCACATGCACTGTAATCAAACAGGCCGGCGTCCTACTGTGAGTTAGCCTGTTTTTCTTAACCTATATTTGTTTCCATGCTGGCAAACTGGCACCATTAAAAGTAAACCAAAGTGGCTTTTCACAGTTACTGCTATTGATGTATGATATTTGTCACTGAATTAAATACATGCCTGAAAAAAATTCAGTTTTAATCCAAGTTTTGGAGTAACAGGGGCATCTGTTCTCTGATTTTAAACCCTTCAGTCGAAGCACTTTTAAATTTACAAGTTATAAAACACCCCAAATTAAACCAGTGATGACTCCACAGCAAACCATGGTAAGCTGATCTGCTGAGACCTGCAAGTTAACATTTCTTATTCTCGCCTAATCAAAACTGTAAATGAGAGAATAAATAAACCGCCATCAGTCAGAGATGGGACTACAACAACAGTGACGCACCCATTTTAATAATGTTAGTTGCAGGTGGCCTTGACAGCGTGTGCACTGCGCTCAGAAACCTCCAAAAAACTGTCAGCAGGTTGTAATTGCCTGGTCCAGTAACAGAGACCTTCAGGGTGGAAAGGGTTAAGCAAACTCATGGACGATTTTTCTCAATGCACAGCAGAAATGATGTGTAAATGTCAATGACTATAAAAATAAGTGTAGCCTGTGTGTGTGTGTGTGTGTGTGTGTGTGTGTGTGTGTGTGTGTGTGTGTGTGTGTGTGTGTGTGTGTGTTAGCAGAGTTTTCTCTCTGGAAGTTTTGGAAGTTTTCAAAGTTTGTTTTAAAGCTGATATAAACGCATCAATGTGTCCCAGATAGCGGACACATTCTGGCCCTTTTGGCACTTATGGATCAGTAAAAGCACCAACAAGTACTGTGTGGACTGAACGCGGCCCAGAAGTAATGAAGTGGCCTTGGCATGTGTTGCAGGAGAGGTTATTATATTATGTGGGCCAGTTTTCAGAACACACCTCATATCTGTCTAATAAGTTAAGGCTCTGTTTGGCATGAGGCAACCAAATGTGGCCCATTTTAAAAAAAAACAAAAAAAACACACACACAACCAAATTGTGCAATAAATTTTTGTGTATATAGAAACTTTTACAGTAATGCATGCACTGTGCACTCAAACATATGCAGTTGTAGAATAATAACATGTACACATTCTGCTTTAAAGAGCAATGCTAATCCAGTAAACCACAACAATACAACCTCTGACAGTAGGAGGGAATAAACTTGATTTTCTTGTTCCAGTGCAATGTTCTCCTAGGAAAACTTCAGGCACTCGTGGGGTTTTTCATTTAGAAATATAATAAATCTAAAGATTTTTGCAGACCCTGCGGTGGCATTATCCTCCCCGCAGCGTGACAGTGTGCCACGCCACACCACCCCACAAAAACAGCTTGAAAAGGCTCAAAGATCACATCACAGATCCCAAGGTGTTGACCTAGCTTCCAAACTCCCCAAATCCGATTAAGCATCCCAAAACAACCTTGCTACCCATAAACCCCAAAGGCACTGCCGCCATTTTCCTGGTATCAGAAACCACAGGCGTCCCGTGTGAGTGCCCCTTTGAGTCAGGTTTTTTTTTTTTTTATAACATAAGGAGGACCTAAACAAGATTAGCACATGCATTGGAGCTTTTGGGTGTGAGCAGAGTAGCAGTGGAGGTCTACACAATATTAACAAGAAAATGCTGTGGAAGTTGCTCAGCAGTCTCTCCACTTAATAATTTTTGTGATTAATATTTTTCTGATGAAGAATTAAAGGGTGCCACCTTAGTGCTGAATTGGACCAAGTTACTGAAAACTAAAACTGTGAAAATATGCACTTTTCCAGTTTGATGTACATATAGTTCAGTTTGACAGTTTAATTTATGGGATGCTGTAGCGACGGTCCTCCGGGCCTTATTTCAACATTTTGTCCTTGCTGACACTCAGAGCTCCAAGCTCGTGTAATCCCTGGAGGTGGAAGAGTTTTAGCCGATAAAAGAGGGAGGATGGATTTTTTTTAAGTTAATTGCTGTAGTCCGGTGCGAGGGGTTTCACAGTGCTGCAATGGCCTCCATACACTGTGCATCGCAGCTCAGTTGTTCATCTCTTTGCCTGATCTTAGCTTAGCTTGCCTCACTAACCAACCAAGTTTCCTTTTTTTTTTTTTTTACATCTTTCTTCTGCATAAAGAAGCTCGAACTCAAGCCAAAAAGCCCGAACCTGTGCTTTAACTCCTGCTGCCCATACTTGAGTTTACTGTGAAAACCTATTAGCGATGATTTGCCTCAGACACCAAGACGAGTACTCTGGATGTTTACTGGCCCGTCTCTCCCTGAGGAGGTGACATACTTGTGCCTGGACAGAGTGTGCCACTAATCAATCCTGCACGCCAAGGCAGCCCACAGAGGGACGCCTTTTTTTAGGCTTTTAAGGAAATGATCTGTTGCCAGGGCTTAACTGAACCCAGAAGAGGTAAAGTTTCCAGGTCAGTATCAGCATCCAGGGACAGGTGACCTGTTTGCTTGTAGGCGACATGTTTTTCCATCAGGCCGGCTTCCAGCTCTTTAGTTTGGCTTGTTGCAACGTGACAGGCTTGATGTCAGTCTAGTTAGAAGCCGCTGATGTGAAACTGACATGTTGTCCAGAGTGTCAGAGGTGAGTTTTGTTTGCTTTTTTAAATGAGCTTCTTCTTTTCTGTTTACCAAATAAAGACACATCCAGCTGACATCTACTTGTTGAGAGGAAATGAGTAATTTCCTGCTTTCTGGAGCTGACTCAGTTCGGGGAAGTTTTCTTCTTGACAGCTGGGGTGGAGGGGATGGGGGAAGGGCGTGCTTGATGTACTGACAGGGTGGAGTAAACAGCGCGGTTTTTAACTTAACCCCTGCGCTTGTTTTCCTTTGTGTTTACCACGCCCCTCCTCGCGTTGCTTTCTCACTCTCTGCACGGTCGCCCTAACAACCACTTTTTAGCTCAGCTCTTGTTCTGATCGCTGTGGCAACTGTTACAGAGCTGGGTCTCCATGGCAACTTCCCGTCCTGATTCCCTGATCAAGGACGGAGGAGGGCTTAGATGCTGCAAACACGCTGACTGAATGGACAGTTGACACATATACGCCGTGCACCTACTCAGAGCTGTAATTACTACGACTGTACATTCATTCAGACACGTACATGGCTTTCCACATTCTGGAATTTTAAATATTCCATATTTAAAGTTGACCTTTTACGGTCATTTTCAGGCCTATGGCTTTACTTAGAATCTACTGCAGCACTAATTCATCACAATCCTTACTCATCTCATACTGGAGATGAATAAGGATCATGCACTGAAATCTGAAACAAGCTTCTGCGAGGTGACCGCATTAGGGATATATGCTCTCAGTGACATCATACAGAGCCAAGCGTAGAAAAAGTGTGTGAAACGGAGCATCAATCTGAAGTGTTAGCTTTTCACCTCAGAGATTATGTGGGAAATTACAACAGTTGCACTTCAAAAAAAATATTATAACTATAGCTATAGGAGCTGCAGTAAGCTCAGTTCTTTCTTACACCACTGCCAGATCTTTTTTGTTTTCAAGCTTGTGGTCTTCAGTTTTTAGCAAGGTCATTCTAGAGTCTCCCAAACCCACAGTCATCATGGGAGGAGTATTTTAATTATAAAGTGTGTTGGATATTTCCTGTCTATAACAGAAATATGTGAAGGTGTGTTGAGGTGTCGAGGGAAAAGCAGCTGGGTGAATGTAGAGTTGCTAAAGCATTCTGAGCCTTGCAAACCAAAAATAAAAATTTAAAACAAAGGAAGTGCAAAGATGATGTAACTACTGTAATATTCTCTCTTTGTGAAACTTTAACAAGCCGGCAGCGAAGCTGGCAGCGTATGGCACGTGTCATACTTCCATATATCACAAAAACACAGCTGCACTTCACACATAGTGAGTGTAACATGTACAGCATTGGTGATGTATGTTTGGGTTCAAATGACAAAATTGGACAGAAACTGTGCGCTTTATCAGATTGTGCCTTTAGGAAACACGGACAGAGAGAAAATATTTCTGAATTTTTCACATCCATGTTCTCTTGACTCGTATAAATTGGGGATGCTTCTTTTTAAAGAAGCAACGATGGCAGATTAATTCATTTGCAGATTATTTACTGACTTGAATGATTCATTATTCAACAAGTATACTGTTTCATGTTGCACTGCAAATCTGTGCATTCAAGATGTAAAGTACATGTTCAGCATTTTTACTTGATTATGAGAACAGATGATGTTTTTCCTTTCAAACTACTAAACGGTTTATCTGTTAAGGACTAAATGTTGCACTGTTTCAACAGACTTTAGGCTCTTCAGTGCTTTTGTGCAGAATTTTTGTCGCCACCATCAAATCTGTTGCTAGGAGTTGCTTAAAGGTCATCATCCGATATTGGGTACATATGAACAGAAGCATCAGTGATCCCGTTTATTTTAAATTTCCCTTTAATGTGTCTCTTGTGGCTTTGTGAGTCACGCTGTTTTGGAGGGGATTTCTTATTTAACAGTGTTGCATTTTGTTTGTGTTGAAGATACAAATTTCTATTCATTTCTAGTTTTTATTTTACCACATGAATAGACTGTTGGTCCTGCTGGATTTGATCCATGTGGAGAGTAATTTTGCCAGTGGAGATCTTAATCAGAAGTCTACACATAAATTTAGCTGAACTTGTGTAATCACATGAAGATTAATTGAGGGATATGGATGGA